TGCCAACCAGTTCTTCATAAATTGATTAGTTCCATTTCAGACATGTTGGCTCGGTTCGGTAGAAGTTCCAGCTCTCCTTGGAACTCCAGGCTCAGTAAGTCTCTTGACGGAGCCACTGAATGCCGTGCTTCCGATTCCGCCACCGGCGAGACACCGAGGGACGACACCGAGAGGTCATCTCCTACCTCTCCAATGGGGCATATCCAGCCTCTTGAGCGAAGAGTTTGCGCATGTGCCCCATTTATTTATCAGAGGCAAACGGATGGGTAGTGCACACTATTCTACTAACATTGTGGACGGGGCTATTCGTGGACGTTTCGTGGAATGGTGCTGCAACAAAATCCCAGAAACCTTTGTTGAACTTCGTAGAAGGTATTTTTGATGCACTAACTTCGTATAAGCGATTTTGGCTGACCCCCTTTCTCCACACACCCTCCGTTGAGCCTTCATTTTGTACTGTATAGCGCTGGGTCTAATCATCTAAATCGAAGCTGAAGTCAGTCTGGGTGGCTTTTCAATCCAAATTTGGCTCAACGAGGCTTTTCTCTTGGCCTACGTGAGACAGTGAGTTCGGGCTTCAGAGATGCACAAGCTTCAAACAGGACTTGATATGAGCAGCAGCGAAATTCCAGCAACATCTTCAATTGAGCTACCCATCATTATACTGCTTTTCCTCACTCACATCTTATATATATACATATCACGAATGAAAAGCAACAACCGGAAGCAGATACAGCTATCAGTAACACTAACATCAGGAATATACATGCACTGCCACTGTTGCACTTGTAACGCGCACAAGCCCTCATTACTTCACCTCCTCTACTGTTTTGATGGTATCAAATACTGCTGCGGCTACGTGATTGCCTCTATACACACCTGGGCTACAATACCTCATTAAAACGTCCCACATTTACTATATTTGTCAGTCCTTTTCAAAGAAGTCGAAGAATAAATGTTCTTAAACGTTTTTCATCAAAGAAACGACAATGAGCCCAGACCATCCTCAGACCATCCTTGTGACCTTCAGAAAGAGCTGAAACTATAGAGAAAAGTCCCGGAGGCATTCTTGTCTGCCCGAACCTCCAAAAGGCTGATTTTGGGGAACAGGCTTCTTTTAAAGAACTTTTTGACGATCTATAGGTATATGATATATGTATGTGTACAGCAACATCCACTGATCCGTTGCACCACATCAATCCTGTTTGAATCAGAATTGCCTTGTGCACATCTCCAGTCTTCAAGTGTCGAAGTGGACCGGAGCAAAGCGGCGCAAAGCGAAAGACGCTTTATTTTAACCATGCTTTTCCTGCAAGGAACTATAGGGTCTTTGCGTAATGAGTCTGCCAAGACCTAAGAGGAGAGATACCGATTCGTCAACGGAAGGAATTGGTGCAGTGGACGACACGAATCGTGCGACAAGTTGTTTCTTGAGCACCTGAAGAGTCGAAAAGAAGCTGCAGCTGCATGAGCCGACTTGGTCATGCAGGATGAACATCATGGGAAAGGCTCAGCCGCAGCTTGGCCCTGTATGCTTATAGTTGTCAGTTGTCAACCGGCAATTGGACCAGAAGATCTTCAGAATCAGAAACTTCCACAGGCAACGAGCTCACCCCTGGTGATTTTCAGGGTGAAAAGGCCACATCAACCCTTCCCCGAGTTCACCAGCGCAGGTGCTTTCAACACCGACCTTAAGGGATGGCATGAACAGTCCGGTCGCTTCATGCGAGAAGGCCTTGGGACGTCGTCCCATGAAAAGTCCAGCTCCCGGGAGATGTCGCGAGATCCCGACCCCAAAAGCTTTCGGAGTTCCCAGGCGAGGGGGGATGGGCCGAGAGGCCGAGAGTTGGGGGGGCGTTCTCCACCTCCGCCACAGGGCGGACTGGCCGTGCAGGTGGGGTCATTTGGGGCCGGGAGCTGAGGGGAGTCAGCTCAGATGGAGTCGGTCCACTGAGTCGGCTCAGAGGGTTCTTTGGGCTCACCACTCTTGGACTAGACTATCTAGACTAGATCTTCCACTCAGGGCTTCCAATGGGTCAAAAAGGTTGTTGAATGTTCTTGACGTATGTGATGGTTTTTGGGTCGGGACGGTCCGCGGTGTTCATACAACAGGTGGGAAGGGACGTGCTTAACTTTTGGGGTACTCGTAGTGACAAGTGATATGCAAGCCCTCCATGTGCTGGTATGTAGTTGTTCTAATGCATCATTGGTGTGGTCAACGGGGCCCGAGTCTCACTTGGGTCCCGGGTAATTTACCATCCAAGTGCACTCGGCCAAGCTTTGCTCAACGCCAGGCAGTTTGTTGCAAGTACAAGCCAACCTAGAGCCCAGGCTGACCTCTTATGGACCACCTAGCCACCCAAAATATGTTTGCGATGGGCTCTAGGACAAAAGTCAAAGCCCTGACATCGATGATGTGATGTCATCTAGTCATGTTAGTCAATTGTGAGTTTCATGGTGGTTCGCTCCTCAAGTGCATGGGTAAACTCTTCTGGGGTTCGAGACCTGTGATTCTTTGCAACTGCTCTTCTTCTTTGCAAAATCTCCACCTGCCAAGTCCTGGCCACTTCCAGTCACTTTGAATTCTACGGCCCTTGTAGTGCTGGTTCCTGGAGTGGATCGTAGTGTCAGAAGTGACTGTGACCGACTTGGGAGACAGTGGAGCTGGGACCATGACCGAATCGTCACCAGGGTGTGGATTTGCGGTCCCAGCCGGTCTTAGACACGTGTTGGAGATGGTTTTCAGAAATGAGGACTCTTCCGTCCCCTTTGCTTTTCGTCCCAGTTCTCTGCTTGGAAATTCAGAAGAAGTTTTCCTTTGCATGGAAATTCTGGTAAACATCTGGCTGAGGTTGGGCTCTCTTCACTGTTTCTTCTCGTCATGGCGCCATGTCAGGCACTCAGGGTCGCCTGGGGCGAGGATGAACCGATGTGAAGCGAATGGTGACGCGAAATCTTCGCGATCATGAGACGGATTGGTAGAGTTAGAAGGACCAAGAACATCTAAGGACTATCAGGAGTATAGCAGGTAGCAGCATATCCTTCGCAAGCTCAGCATGCTTAGCACGGGCATGGAAGGAATGGGCCGATCCAACAAGCCAAAATCAGTCTGAGAGCTGAGAGAAGCCAACGCCATGTGGGTGACGCATCGTGGATGCCTTTGGGCATCCAAAATTGTACTTCATGGAGATCTTTGGGATGGGTTGGGAAAAATCAGGGTGTTTGTTTTCAACAATCCCTACAGTTTATGTGGTTTCTCTTCAAGATTCCCATGTGGGACTCCTCTAAACCTCCACAACAAGTGTTTTTTTGGCAACAATCCCTCAAGTTTCTTATTTTTCTTCAAGATTCCACGTGAAAAAACCCTCTAAACCGGCTTCCACGACAAGTTGCCGGTTGGCCGAGCCTTCGGACCCTGGCCGAGCCGAGCCGGGACCCGGAAATGAAGCGGCGAGAACCGGCGAATCCAGGCACAGAAACGAGCTATACGAAGCACCACCCCCAAAGCAGAAAAAGACAAACAAGTGTGGAAAGAGGTCTTGGAACAGAACGTGTTTCTGAGGATTCAATTCATCAAGCCCGGGTGTCCTGGCTTGAGCTGTCCGGGAGTCAAATGTTCTTAGCGATGTGTTTCTAGACTTAGTCAATCTTAGTCAAAACGCACATGACACAAACTTCTGCAGATCTCGATGGTCAGCTGATCCTACCAAGGTTGGCGGATCGCTTTGTGTCAGGCAGTTGATCCGATGGTGAGAAGGTCGGTCGATCAAATGGACCCAGTGGACTTCCGAACTCTGAGCGAATGCAGGTCAAATGGGTGAAACGATGATGATGACATACATTCCGGCATGATGCATTATAGTAGGTGAAGTAATGAGCAACATCATGGATTTGCTAAGTGCAAAACGTGGAATCAACCACGATTTGTACAGCTTGACTGACCACTGACAGTTGAGCATGTCAACCGTTTGTCTCCTTTCGGCCGTTTCGCATCAGCTCCTTGTTCCAAAGAAGTTCCAAGTAGCAAGGCCTTTGCGGTCAGCCTTTGGCCCAAATGACACAAGCACCGTCCCACCACCACAGTGACACTTACAAACAATGTTTAATGCTTTGTTAAGTATGGACCATGGACAACTTGATGCAAACAGTTCTTACATGTGGAATTGCTAAGTATAAGCATAGATAAGCATAGATACTAGCATAGAGTATTTGATTTAGCATGATTTAGCTACTATGCAGTTTTCATGCTAGACAGGCCAGGCGCACCCTTTTTTCATCCTTGGGCGCTTCCGGCCCCCCTGTCGGCCATTGTGGCCATGGCCTCCGGAGGAGTCTGGAACACCCAGCAGGCCTTTCTGGCTCAGCTGAGGGACGGCAGCCTGGAGGCCTGGGGACACCCAGATTATGGTGCCCCGATCCCAGCCGACATCATAGCCTCCGGGCAGAAACACGGCCTGAAGCGGGCTTGGTCTACGTGGCAAGGTGGCTTTTTAGTGGAGCTGCAGAACGGGGAGTTTCACGCCTGGGGAAACAAGGAAAAAGGTGCCGACATCGACGCCGTGAAGGCCACGCTGGAACGCGAGGGTGTCGTACAGATTTGGAGCACCTCAGGCGCTTTCCTGGCAGAGTTGACAAGCGGCAAGGTGCTCACATGGGGCGATGCAGGTTGGGGCGGCGAGGTCACCACCTCGGTGCGGGAAGCCCTCGAAGCCGAAGGGATCCACCGCGCCTGGTCCACACACGGTGCCTTCATCGTGGAACTGAAGAGTGGCCGAGTGGTCGCCTGGGGCCGTTCCGAATTCGGATCCCAAATCCCCTCCGACGCCCAAGCAGCGATGCGAACCAAAGGGCTCCGGGACATTTGGACCACTCGCTTCGGCGCCGTCGTGGCGCAACTGAACACCGGAGAAGTGATCTCGTGGGGAGACACCAACCGTGGCGCCGACGTCGGCGGAGTGAAAGATCGGCTCGAAGCCGCGGGAGTTCGACACATGTGGAGGAGTACTTTCGCCTTTTTGGCGCAGCTGAAGACTGGCGAAATCCTCTGCTGGGGCGACAAAAATCGTGGCGGTGCGCTCCCCGCGGCGACGAAAGAAGCCCTGGACGCCCACGGAATCGCCCGCGCATGGAGCACCACCAGTGCATTCCTGGCGGAGCTGACGAACGGCTCCGTGGTGGCCTGGGGAGTCGGATCCGGTGCCGAGATCCCAGACGACTTGCACAGCTCCTTGGAACGCGAGGGGATCCGCGAGGCCTTCGGCACGGCCGGCGCCTTCCTGGTGGTTTTGAAGAGCGGCCGCTGCGTCGCGTGGGGCGATCCCCGCTACGGTGCAGACCTGAGCTCCGTCAAGGACAAGTTGGAGACGGTGGGCCTGGCGCTTTCAGCGCCTGCAACCCCAGCTCCGGAGGCCCCGCACGCAGGTCCAGGCACCTTGCCGAGTGGATCCCCCCGGACGGCTGCGGCATTCCTACGGGTCTTCGACATGTCTCCGGAGTCAGTGAAGCTCACGGAGGAGATCTGGTTCTGCTATGTTCTGCTATCCTCCTAGCAATTTTCCCTAGAGAATCAGAGAGCTCGGGTGTTCCAGAAACAGGCAATACTTTAGTAGATTAATTAAGCTGGTCGATGAGGTTCACTTGCCGTTTTCTAACGGTGGCAGTGGAGTGTGATTCTTTAGAGGCACACTTGTTGCAATTGTTTTTGTTTTGTAAGCCACACGCTCGCATCCTTCAGCCTGGAGATCAATGCCAATGGCATCCAATGGCAATGCCTTTTTCCAAACAGCATGTCACAACATATAACAACACAATGTTCAATGATCACAGATGATCACAGATGATCACTCTTCCAAAGCTTGCCCTATCTTTCCCTCATCTTCAAAGCTTTTGATGTTGGAAATGCCATCCTTCTTCCCCCCTGTCTCCCCCTGTCTCTGGTAGGGACCGGTTCCAGGTCCTCGTGGCCACGGGGCTCACGGACCGGGGACGATGTCTTGGCCCGGTGTGACTCTGACCCCCCCACCTCGCCACCTGGTCTAGTACCAAAAGTAGTGAATGTTTAATTGTTATTCGAAAATGGTTGGTTCTCGCAACTGTTTGATTGTTTCAAAATGGTCTTCAAACAGACTCCAAACATCAATGGAAGAGAGGAAATGAAGGAATATGACCAGGAAAATAACTAAGAATTAAACATTAACTATCTACTTTTTGTAGCTTCACCTTTCCCCCTGTCTCTGTGTCTCAGACTCTGACCCGCCACCTCGCCACCTGGTACAAAAAGTAGCCCGTGATTTTTTATTTTGTTAGTTATGTTCCTGGTCATATTCCTTCATGTCCTTTCTTCATCTTTCTTCCATTGATGTTTGGAGTCTGTTTGAAGGAAATGTTGAAACAATGTTTGGATATTTTCTTGTGAACAGTATTTTTTGAACAGGTTTGAAAAGTATTTGTCATCATCATGGACTGGTACGTGTGTGGTGTGGGTGTTCCCATTCTTTAGGGGTGTCCAGGGTTCCAAGGAGGTATGTGCACAGTTCTCAACGTGTTCTGATTTTTTAAGTCCAGTGCCCCGTATGTGCTGGCAGAGGGCTGATTCTTTACGCTACAATTGTATGTTTCTGTTTTTTCTCCTTTGTCGTTTGCCCTGTGCTTTTGCGTTGCCCTGCGACAGGCACTTGCAGGCACCGTCGAGGGTGTCGAAGTTAGACATGTTTGACCAGGTCGAGGATCGTCCAAAAAAACATAGGCAGGAACTAGAAGCATATATCTCCATGGATCTCCATGGCATCAACAAAAGCAATAACCTATAGAACGCAACACGCATACACACACATCAAACAAATAAAGTTGGGTGTTTCTTTTGGTTTTCTCTCCTTTGTGGTTTCCACACCTCCAACTCCACGGCCCAGAGATCAAAACGTTTCTTTGCCTTTAGAGCATTGCACTATACATTCCAAATGCTGCAGCCACCATGAAGGGTGCGGGACCGTGCAAACATGTAAGAGACATGTTTCCTAGCCTGTTCACCTCGAACATGCAGCTTACAATTTGTCCATATGGAAGGGGGGTGGAACATGTATCTCCCCTTGGATTGTAAATCCCACAGCTTCCTGACCTGCCCAGCAACTCCGAAGAGGAGATCTCCAACTACTCCAGCTGGGTCAGCCGGGCCACGGTGAAGTTGGAGCATGGCGAGGCGGCGAAAGTGGAACCAAAACCGCATCGGATTTGCTGTGTGTGTGCCTTTAATCACCCGGGTTCAGTCGTTCGTGCTTGTGTGATATATGTGTGGTTTTGCATTTTATGCAGCCAAGTTTGGACCTCTCATTCCATAGAGATGTTGTTTCCGCAAAATGGGTAAACTCTTCAGTACTCTACGCACTGGGTCGTAAACTCTTGCGGCGTTGCGGGTGGCCAGGCTGCAGGCACCGTATTGCTGCTTGTGGTGTGATTGCAAGCTGTGCCCCGGTAATACCTGTGCCTGAGGTGCCGGCGGTGGTCAAGGCCATGCAGTTGCCCCAAGATGAGAAGGAGAAGAAGAAAGAACACTTGCTGTGGATGAAGAAGGACAGGCTTAGTTGTGATGTTTCACCATGAGAGTTCGAAACCTTCAGCATCATGAGCAGTCAGAGTATTTTTGGGGGCACTACCATGGAACCACAGACTCTAGCATCTTGCTTTACTGTGTTGGGGGCTGCCGCAGCTCACTGTCAGCATGGATACCATTCTCACAATCAGGATATGATGAAACTTGTTCAGCGTCGAAGATGACTCTAGATCGAGTCTAATCATAGGACTAGTGGGTGCTATTTGCGGCTGAGGTAAGATTTCCAGGTTGTAGCCTATCAGACGCAAGCATTCATTTAACCATAGCACTGGATATCTTTTTTGTGTTCCCAGTGCAGGAAGAAAAAAAGTTGAGCACCTCGCCATGGATGAAACCTTCTTACCCCGAAGCTGCAAAAGGCAAATGTAGTTATTCAACATCAAAAAGAGGCTTGAAATCCAGGGATGACTTGGTGGGCCTGTCAGAGCCACAGGCACAAAGTTTTATTTGAGGCAATGTTCTTCAGGTGTCATTTGGGTTCTTGACAATGCGGTTGGTTGCTTTGACACTGCCCTGTTGCAGGCGCTCCCCACAAGTCATTGCAACTCATGGTTGCGGACCACAGCATCCGAACGGCCAGGAGCTGGAACATCCAAATCTCGTCAAGATCTTGGGGCTCTATTGGTCTCCTGGCGCTCCTTGCCGCCCACGAAAACGGGGCGGCTACAAACGTTTGGCCAGCTCCGGCCCGACACGATCTGCGAACCCCAATTTTCTGTTGGCGTGTTCAAGGCTCAATTGACTTAGGGACACCCTCGCAAACATTCAACACAATTCGACTTCACGAAGGTCTATCAGCCAGCCGAAGAATGCTGAGATTTTGCTCCGAAGCCTCATTGACAGGCAAGCCAGGGGTCTGATCTCCAGCAAACACTTCCGGAATTCAGATTTGGGCCCTCCATCACCCACATCCCAGGTCCATAGAGCTTTGTTTTATCATGTGTGTTTAATGCTTGTGTATTTTGACCCTAGGGCTCCAACCACCTCCTGAGAAGATGGTTGGGGTGGGTGCCAGGGGGGTCTAACCACCGAACCTGAGGAGATGGTTGGAGCCCTAGGGTGACTAGGCTCCGGGTTGGCCAATCCGAGGTGTACAAATACCGTGATGTGTGTTGCCGTGGAGCCAGCCCCCAGGCGCGACAGACGCCGGTGTGAGAGGGGCGGGTGTTGGGAGTTTGTGTTTAATCTTTACCAGTTTCCCTTGATGAATCTCAATCACCGTGCAATATTATAGGAGAGACCACCTCCTGACAGACTGCATTGAGTTAAATATATGGTTAAAACTTAAAACTGGTTAGAGCTAAATCCACCAGGCCTTGTTGGTGGCTTGTCCCTTCCACTAAGATTGCTGCTGCGTGTTTTTTGTTTAATGGGTTTACGTGCAGTGGGCAAGAACTGGTGGAAAGGCTGCTGCATGCTGCTGATCTCTGAAATCTGAACATACCTCAACTTCGGCATGGAGACGCCCCTGCAAAAGGTGAGAACATATCAATCAGGGTGTAGGAGTTCCCCTTCAACAGCAATTTGTAGTTTGAATGGTTTGGTGGTTATCTCAGTATCTCCCACTAGACCTCGTGGCGGCATTCATTAGGAATTGGTGCGGCATTCTGTGGTTGTGTGGTTCCTGTTCTGTACGTGTTTGACCTGTACCGGGGATGACCGATCCCAATGATTTGTATTAAATTGTTCAGATGGCTTGAAACCATGTTGAAAGCACCTGTTCGAACGGAAGTTCAGCAGCTCAGCAGCTGAACACCATAATGCCGACCATTTGGGGAAAAAAAACCAACCATCCGAAGAAAATCCATACCGACCATCCTGAGAAGT